AGCAGGAGGCTGGGAGGACTGCCTCTGCTTGATCATCAAAGAGTGGAACATCCTGGAAGGACACATTGTGCTTCACTCAGTGTTAAAGGAGGTTGTAACTTCCATGACTGAATATTTTTCTGGGTAACCACAAACAATTTGATGCTTTACTATAAAAATGAGGTATCATCTCACACCTGTCAAAATGGCTATCATCAACAAATCAACAAATGACAAGTGCTAGTGAGGATGTGGAGAAAAAGGAACCCTCATGCACTGCTAGTGGGAATGCAGACTGGTATAGCCACTGTGGAAAACAGTATGGAGTTTCCTCAAAAAAAAAAAAAAAAAAAATGGAACTCCCATTTGACCCAGTACTTCCACTTCTAGGAATATATCCTAAGAAACTAGAAACACCAATCAGAAAGGATATATGCACCCCATGTTCATAGCAGCACAGTTTACAATAGTTAAGATTTGAAAACAGCCTAAGTGCCCATCAGCAGATGAGTGGATTAAAAACTTGTGGTATATATACATGATGGAATACTATGCTGCTGTAAAAAGGATCTCCTACCATTTGCAACAGCATGGATGGAGCTGGAGAGCATTATGCTAAGTGAAATAAGTCAAATAAGTCGCATGATCTCACTCATTTATGGATTATAATGAACAACATAAACTGATGAATCAAAACAGATCCAGAGACAGAGAAACATCTATCAGATGCTCAAACCTCAGAGGGAAGGTAGAGGAGGGTGGGGTCTAGGTGGAGAGATCAACCAAAGGACTTGTATGCATGCATATAAGCCTAACCAATGGACACAGACACCAGAGGAGTGAGGGCATCAGCAGGTGGAGGAGCCACTGGGGGTATAAGGACACATATATAATACCTTAATCAATAAAGGAAAGGCAAAAAAGCAGAAAATTCTACTTTGATTAAATCAAATAGTTCTTTATAAGCAGCTTTCCATGCAGTTTTTTACTTCCTCTGTCTTTAATGTCTGCTTAATAAAATCACACATTCAATTATTTCAAAGAGCCAAGAGCCAATAAGGGATTTGTTGACCCATTGCTTAAAGCTTAGAAATTCAATTTGCCTCATCTTCATTGTTGGCAGATAAGACCCAGGTTGAGGGTTATGAAAGCTATTGGACATTTTAAACTCATTTTGAAGAGCTGAGAGATTTGCCTTACTAAGTCTCAGCTATACCTGTATAGAATGAATTTCATTATTGATGCTATCACAATCGCCATTTCCCCAGGTTCTCATCTATTGTATCTCCAGATTCAGTACCTTTTTCAAATTGTTAATATACTAATGTACTGAATTCTGGCAAATTCCACTGTGATTTTTGTCTAGGTAAGAATTTTAAGCTGTCAGAGGGGAAGGGGGCTGGAGGCTGAGTATGAAGGTGAAGGGATTAAGCATAGATACAGATAACAGTATGGCAATTACAAGAGGGAAAAGGAGATGGAAGAGGGGCAGAAGAGGGTAAAGGGGTATAAATGACAATGGAAGGAGACAACTTGGGGTGGTGAACACATACTACAATGTACAGATGATGTATTATAGAATTGTAGCTTTGAAACATATAATTTTATTAACTAACTAGAAGCCCGGCACATGAAATTCATGTGTGGGTACAGCTGCTAGGCCTGGCCTGTGATCAGGGCCATCTTCTCCAGTTGCCTGCAGCCAGCCCCACCCTGCCACCACCCAACCCAGGATCCTCATTCCCCATCATGTGATCAGTGCCTGCTGGCTGGAAGAAGGGACCGAGAGTGGTCAGTGCATCTCATAGTCCCTGGTCCAGTGGTTGTTCTGGTCGTTCTGCCTTTAGGGTCAATTTGCATATTACCCTTTTATTATATAGCATAGAGTCCTGGTGCATGTGTGGGGCAGTTGGTCTTCCTTGAAGGGGGCCCTGGATTGGAGTGGGGTGTCCCCATGGGGCTGGGGCCAGCCTGGGTGAGGGGCCGCCAGTGTTTAGCCCTCTAATTATGTAATTCATGCTGCAGTTTGAAAACAACTGCCCTATGTCATACTTGTTGCTTCTCCTCTTTATTTTATGTGGCAAGTCCTATATATTTTTTTTTTCCATTTTGGTTTAAAAAAAAAAGAAACAAAACCAAAACAAAACAAAAGACTTCTTTTTATTCCATCTAAAAATGCCTTTCTTGGTTTTTCCTTTCTCTTAATTTTGTTGTAGCTAAAAATATAAAAATAAAACCATTGCAAGGGATATGTCTATTAAACCTTGCTTTATAGTTGTTGGTAACAACTATTATCTCCTGTGCAATAAAACAAGCTTTCAAATCTTGTCTCTAACACATATCCTCTATCACCACAGACTAATTTTGCCTCTGAAACTCTCCTAATATTGTTCTACTTCTTAACAACTTATTGCTACCTCTATGATGTATAATTCTTATTAAGCTGCTACTCAGTCTCCTTTTGTGCAGTGAGTAAAAGGTTATCTTTTTAATAAATGATTCTGGGTCAATACCATTCCCATAAGCAAAGCCTGAATCTTTTATTTTAAAATATACACAAAAGCATATTTCTCTAAAGTACATTTCTTTAGACTATAGAAACAATAGTTTCTAGAAGTCATCACAGGATAACATTCTAATATTATTTAAAGTATAAAAGTATTTCTTACAGAGGCCTTAAATGGAAACCAAACAGGAAAAGTTGATAAATCAGATAATATTTGAATAAACTTTTGATCTTCAGAAAACACCACTCAGACAAAAAAACAACAAGCCAGGGTAGACAAATATTTTTGCAATATGTATATCAGAAAATGACTTTTTTTTTCTAGTGCGAGTGATGATTAAATGGATGTATCAACTTTGTCAAAATTTATTGAGCCTCTATATTTAAAATGTGTACTTTTTGTGTGTGTGTTTACACATCTATGAAAATTGATGGCCTCATTTTTCGTAAGACATCTAATACCTTTGGGATTCATTAATTTATTCAGCACTTATTAAATACCTATGATACACCAGAACACTAGGTAGGCCAGGATTTACAGCTGTGAAGAAAATGCAGTCACTACCTTCATGGAGTATATACAACTTTGGTTATTTGCAGCTTTCTGTAGCATACCTGTGTAAGGTCAGAATGTTTAAGCACAAGCCGCTATAGAGCTGAAGAAAATATGCTTATATATTTGGTTCATATATAGTTTAAATGGCATTCATATTTAGAGCAAGCATAGCAAAAGTTAACACAGCTAACATGGCTTTGAGCTGATGTCCTCCATCTGCCCCTCATGGTGCATGTTCCAGTCTTTCCCTCTCTCCACTAGGAATCTGATTTGTATGGACTATATCAGGCATCTGGAAAAGTATAACCTGATTATGTAAATAAAGTTTTATTGAAACATATTTAAACTAATTTTTACATGGTTATTCTTAAGAGACCTTAGGCTGAAATATTTACTGTTGATCTCTTTATAAAAACAACTGAACTCTGGATTACATCAATGGCTTTCTTGCCTTCTAATTTCTACTTGGGTAGGTCAATGGAACAAAGAGCTAGATAGAGATTGAAGAAAGGGAAAAGAATGAGTTCTCTGCAAGCGCTCCTTGGGCTAAGGAGTCCCTCTGCCAAAGCTCTCAGCACTCCCCCGCCCCCCCCCCACACACACACACTTTTTTGTTGTTGTTAATCTTAACCTGAGGATACTTTTCTCATTGATTTTTAGAGTCATTGCAAAGGAGGAAGCAAGGGGGAGAGAGAGAGAGAGAGAGAGAGAGAGAGAGAGAGAGAGAGAGAGAGAGAGAGCGAGAAACATCAATGAGTGAGAGAAACACATCAAGTGGGTGCTTCCTGAAAGTGCCCCAACTGGTGTCAGAGATTGAACCTGGAACCCAGGTACATGCCCTTGACTGGGAATCAATCCTGTGAACCTTTGATGTATGGGTCAACACTCTAATCAATAAGCAACACATGCCAGGCCTCCCAGCACCTCTTAAGGGAGGTTTCTCTTCCTTATTCTCGTCTGCTGGGTCAGATAGCTCCATCTCTTCATTCCTTCCCATACTGTGATGGTAATAGCCCTGTACTCTCTCTTGTGGTTTTCCAATGTCTTTTGCATATCTTTGCAAATTGTCCTTTTATTGAATGCTCCTCAGATTACTCTAAACTGTGTAAGCCATATATTCTCCAAGGGGACCTCGGCTGTTAATTTGTTAAGTACTTATTGCTGGCCAGACACTGTTAACAGCTTAATATTCATTATGTGACTTAAACCTGACAAAACAACTCTGTAGGACAGATATTATTATCATTCTCTTTTTACAAATGAGGCAGCTCATGTTCAAGCCTGGAGGCTTTACAAAGTTTGCACAGCTAAAAGGTAGCAAACCTCACTGGAATCCCTGCTATTGGTTACAGAGCCTCTAGAATGAAAGATCTTAACCATTATCTCAATGATTTTCATCACATTATAGTTTTCTTGGCAATGATTTATGGTTTCATTAATTATATCACAACAATGGATCTGAAATTATTATCTTCTTACAGGTAGATAAATCAAAGCAACAATAAATTAAATGGTTTTCTCAAAGTTTCTACAAGATAAAGTTTAACACAGCCAAGTTTCATGCATTTAGGTCTGACATAAATAACTATACAGTCATCATTTATCAAATCATCCATTTTGAATGATACTTAGAATTGTTTGCTATAAGAATTACATATATATATATATATATATATATATATATATATATGTATATATATATATATATATATATATATATATATATATATATATATATATACACTCATATCATTATATACTCTACTTGTCCTAACGGGTTCTCATGTGTGTAGAGTAATGTGGTATATGTTATATGTCTGAGATAGGGATTAGGAGGTGGAAAAAATAAGAGGCTGAACAAAATTAAATTTTCTATACGAGTTAGGAATTGTTAGCTTTTTTTCTGGTCTTACGGTATTGCAAGTTAATTAATTTGAACAAATTTAAAAAGTAGAGCTAGTGCTCACTTTGGCAGCACATATACTAAAATTGGACCTATACAGAGAAGACTAGCATGGCTCCTGCACAAGAAAAAAAAAAATAATAAAAAGAGTGGAGATGAAGTGCTTTCCTATGTTGCTGGAATTTGATTGGTGAGAAATAATGTTTCAGCCAGGTTGCCAACTAATCTCTAATGGTTGGCTTCCTACAGTTCACTCCATCCCAAGTAAAGGGTCTGGCCAAGATCAGTGCTGGAGGCACACGGATTCTGCATTCCATGTTTAATTGGCCCCCTGAAAAGAGAAACAGGTAGCAAGCATCCAAAAGGTCCTGGCTACTTCCTCCAGCCATAAGGCAGGAAGCACAAGGAAAGCTCCTCCCATTGGTCTCTGTAAAATATTTTTTATTGCCAGTTTCTTGTAGTGAGCACAAATGCTCCTAGTTGGCGCTCCCACATTCAGAAAATGTATATTTTAGGGAAAATTGTCTAAAAACAAAGATTTATATCCTATTTGTTAAAAAAAAAAAAAAAAAAGCTATATCCAGGTAAGAACTCGGAGTATATGCTGTGCATGTGTGTGTATACATATGTGTGTATGTGTTTTTAAATTCCTTCTCTTTGATGATAATCCTATCAGATCCTTCTTTCCTAGGTTTCGGGTACAGTGGGGTGAGGGGAAAACCTAATTTGAGCTGCCATTTGCAGGGATAACATTGTCCTATTCAACAGGCAGAACAATTAGCCTTTGTCATGTGTCCACATCAGCAGTCAATGAAGAAAACATTTCTGTCTGTTTGTTTGTTTAAGTCCAGGAGTGCGTCAGCTCAATCACCAATGAGAGCTTTGATAGCAGTGTGCTAAGCAGACCGTGGTGTCTGCTCTTGGTATCCTGACTGCATCCTTCCCACTCCCTCACTCCCAGCCTGTGTTGCTTATTAAGCAAGGCTTGTGGAATGAGGCTTAATAGAAATATCTTTCACATTTTATATGCCTTTCTCTACTGTAGGTATTTGTTAAAAATAACTGGGTCCTGCCGAAACTGGTTTGCCTCAGTGGATAGAGTGTTGGCCTGCGGATTGAAAGGTCCTGGGTTTGATTCCAGTCAAGGGCATGTACCTTGGTTGTGGGCACATCCCTAGTAGGGGGTGTGCAAGAGGCAGCTGATCGATGATTCTCTCTCATTGATGTTTCTAACTCTCTATCCCTCTCTCTTCCTCTCTGTAAAAAATCAATAGAATATATTAAAAACAATAACAACAAAACAACAACAACGAAAAACTGGGTCCATCCCATTTAGAGTCACAGCTTTTTTCCTTATTATACATTGCAACAATCCTTGTAATTGTTTGCTCATCTGACTGTGAAGTCTGGCTCTTCCTTCTACACAAGTTTTATTGAGCTTATCTTTTCAGACACAGTCACACCTCAGTGAGTAAGCATGATTCAAGCCCACAAGGCTGTCTTTTCATTTGAACCTCTGTAATTCTTTGATAAGAACCAATAGCTGGCTCCTTTGTTGTTTTTGTTGCTAACTGATGATTTCTTGAGTTCTTGCTTCACTTGGCATATTGCATTTTGGATATCTAGTAAGTGACCTTGCCTGTGGTACTTAATCCCAACCTTTGCCACTGTGACTGCTCTTGAAATTTAATCACTGCTTCTGTCCTCATCTGCTCTTTGGTCTTGCCTCATTGTCAGTATCAAGTCAATCTGGGTACATCCACAAGTGTCTTCAACCATTGAAACTCAGTCTAAAAAAGAAACTTTCTTCAATAATGGATTGAGGATGATCTCAGCTATTCTGTTAGAATTTCTAGGCCAGATTTTTACTTAATATATATTTTATGCAGACGGATTCTCAATGGGAATAAATATCTCATTAATAAAGCATTAAGAACATAAGCCTTGAAGTCAGGCAGGCCTGCAGTTTTAATTACTCCTGTTCAGGCCTCAGTTTTTCCATTTATAATAAAAATGTTAATAGCAGCACCTATAACATGAGGGTGCCATACTTATGGAAGTAATACTGCCTACAGACCTTTTCTCCAAATACCAGGCAAAGATTAAATAAATAGTCTAGGAATTAGTATTTTTATTATTATTATTATTATTATTATTATTAATATTCAGCCATCTTCAAATACTATAATGAGATGACACATTCTCTAATTTGGAGTTCCTAGTCTGGTAGTAGATCCTAAAAACCAATGTGGCTGATGAAAGTATGAGTAATATTAGAACTAATACAGCAGTCATAATGACAAAAGGACCTAGTGCATGGGCTAATTGATTGGTTGCTCCAGGGCTAAGAAAACACTGCCTCAGTAAATGTCACCTTGAGTCCCTTGGAGAATCCTGGAATTCAACAATAATGACCTTACTCATACTTGGGTCCAAAGCCTACCCCATGGAATACCTTGCCTTTATGAGATGACATTGAGAAAAATATAACCCATGACATTTCTTTTAGGAAATCAAAGGACCAGATGTCATTGAGCTTTTTTGTGTATGTCTTTGAATACAGGAGATGTACTATTGATTTTCAACCAATTACACAACATCTTCTGAAGCCTGACCTTGGATTATCTGGGTCACACGTGGAAAAGTTCCTTGACTTTTAATCAGAACATTACTATCCAGGCAGAGAGTAGGGGGAAGCAGAAGATGTGAGGACAGCATCCAAGATCTGTGATTAATGCTTTTTTGAGCAATTTCCTTCTTAACAAAACTGATAACAAGAGAGACTTCTAATTAGAGAGCTGGAACTGTGGAATAACACAGCTGTAGAGATCCTTAGTCCAAGCCCCAATTTTACAGAGGAATAATCTTGGGCCTGGAAGGATGGATCACTGATAGAGATTAGCCAAATCCTCAAATCATCTCATACTTCAGGTTCAGTTAATGTCAGTTTAAAATCTGATATTAGTTCTCTCAAGTTATGAGGTGAAGTACCACTGGACTATATTAATGTAAGACCATCAATCAGCAACTTTTAGAGAACAGTGGTTGACAGCATGGCATTGACATCAAGCAAACCTAGGTTCCAGACTTGGTTCTACCAATTCCTAGCCATGTGGGCCTTGGACAAACCCACTCAACTTAATTTCCCTCAGTTGTAAAGAAGTTCATTATAACTTGCATCCCTTTATATTTCTATGACCATTAAATGATATAATGAAGATTAATAACTTAATACAGTGCCCAGGACAAACAAATATTAATCATTAATACTTAGTTATCATTTGTTTCAGTCAGTAGTCATTGTTAACAATTATCAGATAACTATTCAAACTATTTTGAGCAGAAAATAAATGTATTAAAGATATTATATAGATCAATGGGTTCCCAGAAAGTTGAGAAGACTAGATTGTGAGGCTATGCAATAGGAATAATGTACAAAATTGTGTCCTGAATTGATGTAGTGGGGACCCTGGGAATTGACCCTAAAATTTGCATAACTAACTCATGGATGCTGAATTCTGGAGGTCACACACCTAGAACCTCTGCACTTTTTCCAATCTAAGACATGTTGTACATGTGTTACTTTCAGCAAAGCTGTTTCTGCATAGGGCCTGCTTTTCCACACCACTAGCTCTTAAGAGTTATTTTTTATTGCTGTAATATATACATAACAGAAAATTTAACATTTTTAAGTGTACAGTTTTGTGGTATTGAATACATTCACATTGTTATGGATCACTTGATATTAGTTCAAAATAACTTGGTATTAATGTATATTTTTGGTGGAAGCTTTTGTATCTGGTTTCTATAAAGGGACTTGGGGTCTCCTAGGTACCGAATTCCATAGATGTAGAAACAGTGTTCAAAGATTTGGTGCATTCAGATAGAAGAAAAGTATCTGCTATAGTTCACCCCTTTTGGCCCAATAATAAATTATGCGCTTAGATGATATTTAAATGTCAAACTAGAACAACAGTGACAAATAATTTTGGCCAACATAATGTTGTAATTGTTCTATAAATAAAATGATATGCTCATTGTTTATTCCTTAAAAAAATAGGAAAGTGTAATATTTATAGAAGGTGTCTCATTAGGAGTAGTTCAATTCCATGTTGTAGCTGGTCAAAGCATGACCTCAGTACCTAATCTATCCAATGGTATTTGGAATGAGATACCTTTGGAAAATTACTTCCATATGATGTTGAACCCAACATTTGATCAGGGTCCCTTTAACACTGTGATTAAGAGGAGGACTTTGGAGCCAGAGATGCCTGGGGGGAAAATACAACTCCATTATATCCTTGCTTTCTGACCCCAGACAACCAACTTTCCTTTCTTTGCTGTCTTGCTTTTTTTATTTGTGAGTACCTATTCCATATCTTAGAAACATTAAATGAATTAATACAGGTAAAGTGCTTAAAAGACTGCTTGGCACAAAAATAGACACTAATAGGTATTTGCTGATCGGTCACTCTATCTACTCTGCCTCTGGTTTCATGATGAGCCCCTTGATATTCTCTACATTATGGAATAACTTACTATGTCCAGTAACATAGTTGACATAACATAGTTGGACAAAGAGGAAAACAGAAGGATTTTATTTAAGGTAAATAAACAGTAAGAGAGTAAATCTGGGAAGATATGGTGGTCTTGAGTGTGATGGCTGGTACTATTTTTCCTGATTTTACTACCAAGCTCATGTGTCCTTTAAATTAATCATAAATACTGAATATTTCAACAAAATACAATTTGGTTGTAGTTTATTTAAGGCCTTTATACTATGATTAAAATTTAACCTAAATCCTAGCTCTAAAGAATAAGTAATATTTTTAAAAGGTGATGAATGGCTAGAAAGATGCAGATGACCTTGATAGCATCTTTGACAGTGAGCACTCAGAATATATTGCATTATTCAATTCTTTGTGCAAATCATGAGAAAGGAGTCCCTGATGTGATTTATGATCCATCTCTAAGCAGAAGGCACAGTTGTTCTGTGATTGAATTTTGCTGGTGTAGTGAGCCCTCATTTTTTTTTTCAAACCTCAGAAATTCCCATTTACATGAGTAATTGAGAAATAATCAAATAGAAAAGAAAGTCTGCCGTTTTTCAAAAATTTTTTCAGTTTAAACTTTTATAATGAGAATGAGAAATCAGTTTGGAATCCTC